CTGATCAATTGACATGGATATAAAGGATTCTGAATACCCTTCTGATTTCATACAACTTCTGAAAATTGTCCAAATAAGATATGATCCTGATAATTCACATTCTGAATAACTGATGATTCTGTCAGTTATTGAACTTTTCCAATAAGTATTTCTAATGTCCGGTATTTTATCGGTATACTGAAAATTCGTGTTTCTCTGCCTGCTAAGATTATTTAGCATCTCTGAATAATATCTGTAAACTCTGGTGTGTTCCCTAATCATATAAATATTTTATCTGATTTCCGACTTGAATTCTGTTCTGATAAATGACCTGAATTCTGTTCTGATTTCTGATCTGGATTCTGTTCTGATATCTGTTCTGAATTCTGTTTTGATTTCTGATATCTTCGTTAATGACGGAAAAATGTTTTAATTGGGGGGGTATTGTTGAAGGAAGAATTTCCGCAGGTACCTCGGCTTTGTGCTCAGGGCCTTATATGTTGTGTTGGGTTGGGTGTATGGTTCTGGGGAACCTACACATTATGTTGTGATGGGATGGGGGTATATATATATATATGTTTTAAAAAGATTTGAAAAGTTACATGGTTTTTGGGAACACACTAGAAAACCTATTCTGATATCCTGAACCTAGACATCCGAAATATTTCCATCTGGAATGAATACTATTTGTTACTACCTGAAATATCCGTAGAATCTCTGCTCAGTATAAAGATCTGTAAATGTCTGAATCGATAAGGAAAAATATGTTTATTTGTATCTGCACGTTCTTCAGCATCATCTGGTAGTTCTGTATTACTGAGCTTTCCAAAGCTCACTCTATTACTCACATTTTCAGGTTAAAACAATTGTACCAGTGCATCTATCGACTTCAGTAAGGGAGTTCTTCCGGCGTGGTTGCAGAGTATGGTACTTGTGATTAGGGGGCATGTAATTGTATTTTGATTTATATACGAGTTTGAAAATATGTTTTATTTTTAAATAGTGATAAATGATTTTATAAATTTACATGTTCTGATAAAAAGTTTTAAAATTTCTGCTATTTTTACAGTGGGTTGCTCCGGTGGCCCAAATGTGACACTCCATATCAGATCGGGCTATCCGCATCGGTTTGAGGGGGTTACAAAAAGAATTCCCTTTGGATTTGCCACGGGGCTCGCCAAACAATGTCATTGCTTTGCATATTTCGAAAGGCATTAATCCACATATCTTTCTTAATTTCTTTCGGCCATTCCTGCTCCAGAAATTCTTTTAATGGTGAGTAATCCGTATTAAAACGTCGGTATGAAACCTTTTCTGTCCTCCAGAAATGACTACGGATCCAAACATATAACAACTGGGTACACCCTGAGAATCGTCCACCTCCTAACCTTCTACAAGCATTTAACGATCTGAAGGTCTCTGCTAGAATTGCAGAAGCAGGATTAATCTTTTTCGGTAGCTGTTCAAACAAATCTACCACTGCAGCTTCAACATATCCCAATACTTTTGGGAAGATGACCATACCATATATACCCAGAGCAAATAAATCGAATCGTACTTTAATATCTGGATGACTCTGAATAAGTTCTTTAATGTTGGTCCAAGCAATGCCTTCGCTTTCGCCTTTTTGTTTTGTACGGGATGCTACCCATTCTTCTCGTACCCCAGCAATCTTTGTTAATTTAACTCGAAAGGGTTGAGTTTTAATTGACTTTGAATAGATTCGATTCTCCAAAGCCCCTTCGATATGTAGCAAAGTTGTGTATTCTTCAATAGTAGGGACCAAGTCCTCTTTATTGAGAGTGAAGCAATTGTACCCTGGATTCCAGAATTGAATTAGGGCTCTGAGTAATTCATCATCAACTTCGACATAGAGAAAATATGGGATGTCTCCGTAAGTATGATAAAACTGCAATTTTTTGTTTGAATCCCAACTTTCCCAAATGCTTCGCAAATCTTGCATATCATTTCTTTTTAGTGAAACTGGAGCATAACTGGCCAAGTCAGATACATAATCATCCTGCAGACTGTCTCCTTCTTGTCTTTGTAAGTCCTCAGCCCACTGTCTTACTTCTGAGTTTAGAATTACTTGATTTGAACACTTTTTATCCATAGATGAAGGCTTTCCAATGAGACAATTAACACAAGGATCAATGTCTTTTATCCTGTATGATGCTATGAAAACAGAAAAATAAAGAACACACAAAAAGAAAATAAATTAGTTTACATAATAAAGAAATTTAATAATAACATTTACATACATATTTTTTATTTAAACATGCTTTTCTAAATTTAAATAATTTAAATATACATGTAATTTAATCAGTAAAGAAAATAAATAAACAAGAAAGTTAGAATTCATTTCTCCTGTGTATACACCTATTTTAGACAAAATTTCGGCATGACTTCGGATCGGAAGAGTTTCTAAGGTTTTATATGCAGGGTTTTAGATCTAAGAATAAAGGTACCCGAATTGTCCTTGTTAGTGCCCCCTTGGGTTGCTAACCCTCAATCCTAGTCCATCACAGACTAAAATGGATCGAGTTCAATTCGAGGGGATACATTTCTCTATGTCTGACACGGAGAATAAATTCTCACGAAGACATAAAGCATATGAACCCCGAAAGTTACTTGCTAGGTCTGACACGGAGAATAAATTCTCACGAAGACGTCGCTTTCACTCCCACTTAAAAGGGACAACTCAATTATAGAGCTTTATGTTATGCAATGCAAGTGTTGTGTGTGAGGAGAAATGTTCAAACCTTTGACAGAAAAATAAATAATGAAATAAAATACTTGCAAATAAAATAAAAAATATTATGAAAACAATAAGTAAATATAAAAATTTTGAAAAGAAAGAATTAAAAATTAAATATATGAATTTTTAATTTTTAATTAATAGAGACAATTTATAATTGATTTTTAAAAGTTTGACCGGTCCCCAGCGGAGTCGCCAAGCTGTCGTAACCGGTTTTCGTCCGGGCACGAAATATTATACTTGGCGGGGAAATTGATGTGAATAAATAGTTTTGAAAATAATTTGGGAGTCGCCATCGGCCTTTTGGATCAGGTAGGTCAAATACCTAAAAATTATTTTCTTTAAAAGAGTTTTAAGAAAACATCAATTTAAAAATGAACTGATCTGCGTTTATAACCAAAAATTCGTTCTTTTTAATAATAAAAAGGGATTCGTGGTCGGTTACGTTTAGGGAAGGATTAGCACCCCTACAACGCCCAAAATTGGTACTTTTTAATTATAAATTGTCTCTATTATTAAAATTTTAAAAATAAAAAAAATATATTTAATTTATAATCCTATTATTTCAAAATTATATAAAAAATATTTATTTATAAAAATATCAGAAAAGAACTTCTAGGTGCCTTAAGACAGCTCTTTTCTTTGATATTGATAAATATTAATTTAAATAATATTGTTTAATTTTAAAATATCAGAATAGGACATCCAGTTGTATTAAGACTGTCCTTTTCTTCGATATTAAAAATAAATATTAAAAAATTTAATTACTATTTATTATATATATATTTATGAATACATAAAAATATTTAAAAATATAAAATTAAAACAATAAAAATACAACTAGAACGATATATTTAATATCAGTAAAATAAATGAAAACATTTAAAATAAATGACTAAATTATAGTAAAAAATAAAATTAAAAACCTAATTCATAATTAATCAAAATATTAGGGATTAAACATGCTATTTCTTTATTTTATTTATTTAGTGACTAAAATAAAATTATCTAAAATTCGGATATTATAATAAAATAAATTAAAAATATAAACTAGGGATTAGAATATTATTTATTAAAATTAAGGGATTAATTCAGTTATTTATCCTAAATATATTATTTTAATAAAAAGGACTAAAATAAATAAAATTAAAATTTCGAGATCAAATTAAAAGTATTATGAATTCGATTTAATGACTAAAATGTAAAGTCTACAAGTTCGGAGGACTGCGGAAAGGATTTAACTATTTTTTAATTACACGCATAGTCCTTCCCGAAACGACGTCGTTCGGGAAGGACTATATAAAGTCCAAAACGGCTGGCCCGAAGGGCCAGCCTTCATTTCTCCTTCTCCTCTCTCTCTCTTCTCTGAGAGAAAAAAATTTTCTCTCGCTTCTCTCTAAAATAGAGAGAAGCCAGACGGCCGGCCTCCGTCTGCCGGTGTTCGTCCGCCGCCGGCCACCGTCTTCGGTGGCCGGAATAATTGTTTTGGTGAAACGTAGATCGGACCGTCCTAATGACGGTTCCGATGATCTTTTCCTTTAAACGGCTCCCGATCGGAGCAAATCTAAAAAAATATACCTTCGGTTTTTCGAAGGTTTTGGTGAGATCCGGTGGTCGGCTTCCTCGATAAGTTTCTCTTCTTCCTTTTTCTTTCTTTTCTGTTTCTTTGCTGCGTTTGTTGTTGAGATCGTTGGTAGTATTTGATTTCTCTGTGTTTTTCTTCTTTCTGTGTATTTTCTGTCTCTCTTTGTCTCTGTCTCTGTTGTGGTTTTTTTTCTTCTCTTGTTCTTCTCTCTGTCTTCTTCTTTGCAGGTTGGGTGATGGCTTTATAGCCATCACCGATGCTCATCTCGGACCGGTTCGAAGGATAGAGTTCGGTGAGTCACCGGACTTCCAGTGGTGACTCACCATTTGGGAAATACGTGTGCGGCTACGGCCGACCTTCTGGTGCCTTCGGTTGGGACGTGGCAGCGGTGGAGGCAGAGGCGGCTGGAGACAGAGGCGGCTAGGGATTAGGGTTAGGAAACCCTAACTGAAACCCTAAATGTTTAGGGTTTCGATTTGGGTTTTGGGTCGGTTAACTGGGCTTGTAATTTAATATTATTTATATATGTATTTAATATATTTAATAATAATAATAATAATAATAATAATAATAATATTTATAATAATAATAATAATAATATTTATAATATGGGTAAAAAATTAGTATCTTCACTGACCATATCCCATTTGCTCCCTTGTTCCTTTTTTCTTTTTTGATCATTAAGTTTATAGAAATGATACAGGCGGTGGTGATCCAGACAGGAGTAAACTTGGCCGAGATCTGAATGATCTGACAGGAGAAGGAAATATTGAGAGCATGCTTTCAATTGAAATGGGCCTAAGGGAATTAGCATCATTAAAAGTTGATTCTTTTTCGACTCAAGGGAATATAAAATATTAAGCTTCTTTTTGTTGCTTGGCTGTTGTGCATTGATTCTTCTATCTAAATTTATACATTGTACTATGCTTAAGATATAGATTTAGTCTTTGAACTCTAATTTGATCATTTTCAGTCTTATGTACTTTTCACAATTGGAAATTCCGTTCTTGATCCAGACATTAGTTGTTAAATTTGCTAAGTCAAATTCTACTATTTTCCTCTGTACTTTCCGTAAGTTGTAGATTTAGTCCTTGTAATTTAATAATATTGTTCCTATATTGTTTGGTTCAGGGTTGAAATTTCAAAACTAAAATTGACCAGCTTAGAGTATAAGGACCAAATTTGTAACTTATGCACAGTATAGGGGAATAACCATATAATTTGACCCTAGAAAATAGGTATAGTAATACTCCCCCCCCCCCCACCACAAACACAATTATGCATTGACATGAAGTCCATTTTATTATTACCTGTTTATTTCTTGCTCACTTTTGTAAAATGCCACTCTATGAAGTTATTTTTTATTCAAATTCATGTTGTTTTCAGGTTGAAGATGCTGTTATGCGAGCATTGGGCAGACAGAGACGGCTGAGTTTGCTTCATCTATCTGTCTCAGGTTTGATATATCTACATTACATGCAAATCCCTCCCCCCTCTTGGTCTTTGGAATTGACATAGTTGGATGACTCGATTTCTCAATATTTTTAACTATGCCTTTATTTTCAATTTTTCAAGGCAGTCCTAGATTTTATTCTCTTTACCTTCAAATTTAGTTGATGATCAGTAAAATGAAGTGAAACTAGTGTCTGTACAACTACAATCCACGTTTTCATCCCGTTCTTTTTCCTTTTTTAGGTGTCATTATATTTTACTAGCAGTTCTTTTACCTTCCAGGTTGCATCTGTTGGAAATTATATTCCGACATGACTGAAATACTATGCTCTAGTACTTATCCTTTTACTTGTTTTTGATTTTCAGATTTGAAATCACCCAGTGAACCAAAGTCGATAGATGCATTTGGTAAAAGATGCACTCTTTTTTTCCCCTGTCGTAATGCACTATCATATCTAATTACAGGCGTTCATGTTGATTTTGTGAGACCACCGGTCTCAATTGGTTTAAAAAGATTTGCTGCCTGCTTTTATCCTTTTCGATTTATTTAAATAAGGTTTCTTTTTTGCCTTCAACTGCAGAACTAAGTGAAGAGGAGGGAGAAGATGTTCTTTTCAAAGAGGTTGGTTACTTTTTTAATTCAAATATTTTACATACTGATCATAATTGAGCCGTCAAAGCAAAATATCTTTTCTCATTCTGATGGCTTTTTTCCAGTTGTCTTGGTCTCTTTGCTTTGTATTTTGTTGCTACATTATTATTAATCTACATTTATACTATATAATAAGCCCCTAATTAAGCTAGTGTTAAGGCACCAACTCAGTAGAGAATTGTCCGTCAAGCTACAGATGTAGTTTGAAGGTTATGAACGGGGTTTTTAACGAGGCCTCCCATATTTTTATCAAAAAAAAAAACTCAGTTGAGAAAAAACCTAAAAAAAAAACCTTTACCAAATGATAATAAAATATTATTATTATGATAACTTTTATTTTTTTCGTACTTTTATATAATCTAGTAAGACAAATAAAACCACATCCAAAAATCGAACCCGTGTTTCATAAAGATTTGTATACAACTGCTTTACCACTCCACCTATAATCATTTGTTAAGTACATTTTTCATAAATATACTTCATACGGATTATATTTTATGCACTAGCAGTGGAATGAAAAACTCCATAAACGGGGTTATAGTGCTACCATGTGTCCTTCAATTATAAACACATGGCAGCATTAAAACGTCGCTTGTTTACTTTTTTTTTTGTTCTGCCGATGCATAGAAAAATCACCCATAAAAACTGCCCATCAATTGCTTTTCCTTTGTCAACTTTGTTGAAACAAATTTTCATTTATCCGAGGGTAGCAGGCTCATTAAACAGCACGGCAAGTTTTAGTGTTTTGACATTGTAGTAGGTTTACCCTACAGCTTCTCTTGATGTAGAAAGCTTGATTTAGGTCACGAATACCTTTTTCTTATAGCACTTATAATTCTTTTAGGCCTGGTTGTTATATTTCTGGAGAAGAGCCAAAGTACATGGTATAGATGAGGATATTGCTGAAGACCGGCTTGGGTTTTGGATTAGCCGTAGCGGGCAGACTCCTACCTCTCACGGTGCCGTGGATGGTAAGCCCACTTATTTTGGTTATGCTTTGCAAAACGTATACATGTTAAAACTACTATTTAAAGGGTCAACTACGCATTTCATCACTTAACTTTAACCCCACTCTTGTTTTGGTCACTAAACTTTAAAAAGTTTGAATTTATTTACTGAACTTTCGAACTGATCTTGTTTTGGCCACTCGGGTGTTAAATCAGATATAGTAGGGCGATGTGGCCTGTCTTTTTCCTGTCAGGGCTGCTTTTCCTGACATGGTGTCATCTGCAGTCCATCTCATTTTTTTTTCTTTTTTATTATTTTATCTTCTTTCCCCGAAGAAGAAACTGTAAATGAAACTTTTACAGTTTCATTCTTATGCCATTTTCCGACCACTCAAGACACTAGTTAACTTGCCTCATTGTCCCTTATTTTCTTTAAAAAAAATTAAGAATTACAAATCTCAACTCTAATCCTAAAACTCGTGAAACTCAAAACTACTCAGATATACAATTTCTATCTTTCAATTAACATGAAATCAAGATATATAGCTCTATGATTGGGAAATCAGAAGGGAATCTGAAACCAATGTTTTTTTAAAAAAAAGTTTAGTGATTAGACTAAAATGTCAGCAATTCAAAAGTTCAGTGATTAGATTGAAAGGTTTTAAAGTTTAGTGACGAAAATAGAAGTGAGATTAAAGTTGAGTAATAAAATTTAATGAGGTTAAAAATCCAACCGAATTGGTTGAGCCGGTTGAGTATTCATTAATACTTGGCTAAGAACCGAAGTTCGAGTCTTACCAACTGCACTCTTCGGATTTGCCAAGAGAAAAATGGGATAAAAGAGCTGTTGATGAAAATGCCTGGATATGCTGTTTTTAAAAAGGAATGGAACGTGCCATTTCTAGCAGAAGTATCTGATTAGATTGCGTTAATTTGGCAGTTGATCGAGGTATGCTTGAGCTGCGGAAGGTGGGGATAGAGCAGCAGCTATGGGAAGCATCTCGTAAAGAGATCGACCACCCATCGATTACTGCTTTGTCAGATCACAATGCTTCGGAGAGCTCTTAGTGAAGTCTTCCCTTCTCATTTTCAAGTTTGTATATTTCTTGTTCAATTTTTATTTCATTTTTCATATCAATGTTGATTATAGTTTTCTTCTCAAACTTCACATGCTTGATATGTTGCGTTTGATGCAATTTGACGACACGATACATGATGTAATTGATGTTGATACTTGTTTGAGTCTTAAATGAAGAAGGTTCAAAGGGTAACAGTTTGGAACTTTATTTTTTTTAAAAATCAAGGGTATTCCCCTAGTTCATTTCCATTGAAATTGGCTGCAATTTGAATGTTTCGACTTGTGGAAAGTGTCTCTGCGCCTTGCATGCATTCCTTGGTGTAAATACTAAATAAACAAAATGCTCATTTTTTTAATATAAAATGTATATTTAATCCAAAGAGGCAGCAAAGCTGCAAAAACAGTTCAACACCCTAAACAAACTATAAGACCATTGACTACATCCTCCTAATAAGCTTTATCTGAACAAAATCATTAATACAATCAATAATCCTCTCCTCATTCCTATGTAAGTTCCTAAAATTCCTTCTGTTTCATTCCTCCCAAAGAAAATATATACAAGCGTTCCAATAGATCTTAAACAAGAAAGTTAAAAGAGGCCTACCACTCCAACGGGATAAAATCCATCGAATTTCCTCGTCCAGACCAACGCTATCATGATGAAATCCATTCCAAGCTAGAACTGCCCTCCAAATCTTAGCCGAAAAGGAGCAATAAAAAACAAGTGGTCCCTAGTTTACCTTTCCTCCCCACAAATTTAATCAATTGCAACCTACTTGCATAACTCAATCTTCAATTTGACCAATGCCCCAAATTCCCCCTAATAGAATCAAACAACCTATGGCAATCCTTCTCAGAAAGATGCCTAGTAACCAAGGGAATACCCAAATAGGGAACAAGCAGCTTCCAACCTTGAAACCCAACGTGCCCTTAATACACTCCAAAACATCCTCAAAAACACCAGAGGCAAAGATTTCACATTTAGCCTCATTAATTTGTAACCCCGACATTTTGTAAAATGTATCCAAAACACAATGAACACCGACAATAGACTCCAAATTACCCTTCGCAAAAACAAATAAGTTATCAGCAAAGGAAAGGTGCGTCAGCTTAATTCGCTTACATTTAGGGTCAAACTGGAAAATGTTGTGATCAGCCACCAAGTTCAACAACCGAGACAACAAATTCATGGCCAAAACAAATAGGTAGGGAGACAACGGGTCATCATGCCTAACCCCTCTCCCCCTTAAAGTAACCAACTAAGCTCCCATTAAAGGCAATAGAAAAGTATGGAGCAGCCACACATTCCTAGGTCCAACCCCGGAACTCAACAGGGAACCCCATTGCCTCAAGCACATCCAAGATGAAACTCCAACTCAAACTATCAAATGTTTTCTGCAAATCAATCCAATCTTCAACACACATCTCGGACTCAAAGTCCTCCTGCCATATCCTTTCACCATCTCTTGCGTAAGAAGTGTATTATCTACAATATCCCGCCCCTTACTCTTTTTGATTTTCTAATTTAACCCATCTACTTTTAATTCAACTAATTTAATCCGTCTACTTATCCAATTTGAAAACTAAAGTTTAAGTCAGGGATGGCTCACCCAATCCAGGGCCAGAGCATACCTAATACTCAATTAGTATTTACATAGAAATTTACAGATTGTCCATCAAGAGTGACAGTGGTAGGATTCGAACTTAGCCTTATAAGCTCAAATTTCTGAATCCCAATCACTTGTATCAACACTCATTAGCTAAAAAAGTTGAAGTTTAATTGATATCGCTTTTGATGAACTTCCATTGAATTTGAATACATAACAATTTAATATTCAAAGTTTTGATTTAAAAAAATAAAATCTAATTAATAACACATTCAAAATTAGATCAAATGTTATTGTTAATCTCTGTATTATGCGTAAATCATGAATCTGAATAATTTCATCATTATCATGAGACGAGATAATTTCTTCTAAAATTCGACCAATCTTAAAATTTAAGTATCATAAACAATAATTTTATTAAACCGAAACTAGTCAGAATATGAATTAAATTAATTTTTGTTAAATATGAAGCTTAATTCCACTGAATTTCATGAAGCAAGTATAGAGTGGTGTGTGAGCACCATAAATTTCATTAAATGCACAAACCTATCATTCTAGCAACTTGCATGCAATTGCAAAGGTTTAACGTCGGAGATGTGGATAAAACTGAAAACCCCAAATCGAAAGGTAAATATACTTTACCATATGCCCCGATGCTCACGGGTTCAGTCCATAAATATTAAAGACACTGACCGCCATGTGCTCACTGCAACTTGTTTAAGATGCTCCGTCTAGAGATAAGTAAAACTCGACTCGACCTGAAAAAAATTTCAATTTCAAATCGAGTTGTAAAATGTAACTCGAATAACTCATAATTTTTAGTAATTAGTGAATTTATTTTGAAGTTTTAGTTGAGTCATTGGACTTTGTATGATATATGCGCATCACATATGAAACAAAATTGTAGAAACATATTTGTATTGTAGAAACTCACTTAAATTGAAACCAAATAATATTATAATATTATAAGTATTCACAATTAAATTTAAACAGAAACTCGAAAAACCGACTCGACTTGACTCGAATAAAAAAAAATTTAAGTCAACTCCGAGTTGTAAAATAGAAATTGTCAACTCGAATAACTCAAAAAAAAAATTACTCAACTCGATCGAACGCTCACCCCTAACTCCATCAACCCCTCATACTACATAGATAATTTATACCAATGCATAAAAAAACATAAGTATATAATCTACTAAGTAGTTTTAGTAGTAAAAGGGAACGTTGTTCTCTTTGAAAGTTATTATTTCGAATAATTGTGTCATGTGTATATGTTTTCAATTGATTAGAAAATTCTAGTAAATACTATTTCAGAATCATTATATATATAGTGTTAAGATCCACTTACGTTATGTAAAGCTCTTTTAGTTTTAAATCTTTTTAAAATCGTTGGATAAGTGAAAATTAAATGTTGAAATTAATTCCTTTTTTTTAGTGAATAGCTTCTTATTTTTTACTATTAATCTCAACCTTTGTTACTCTTCAATTTGGTCCATCGTCTGATTTGCCTAGATTTTCCTACAGATTTAGTAGGCCCTTCACAATAAAAGCAAGGGTAAATTACTTATTTGGCACCCCATTAAGTAACTATTCACTGAAAGAAATAATGATTTGGTATTGTACTATAATAGTTTTAATCCTTAAAATTTATACATTCTATCAAATTAATATTAATTTAAAATAATTTAATAAATCTCATCGTTGTTATTCCTGGAGCTTATGTGTTCAAGCACCAACGATTGTAGCGAGATGATTGGGCGTTTATTGTCAAATGATTGAGATTATATTTAAAACAAATACTACTTGTAATCACCTTAGCTTAATACAAATAATAATTTAATAAATCTTTAATATTTAAAAAAACATAACAATTTTGTTTTCGTTTAATAATAATTTAATTATTAAATTTATTAAATTATTTTAAAATAGGACCAGTTTAATAAAATATGTACGTTTTGAGAACTAAAATTATACATTGCCAATTAAGTACTATTACCCTAGAGAAAAATTACCTGAAAATGACTGGAAACTGAGAAGGGACAGATACGAAGGTGTGAAAATGACCCAAGAAATGAAGGGTATCACGAGACACTTGGGAGCCCCTTCCATGTAAATTATTTTCTGACATCGACAAAAATAAATTTACAATTAAACATATCTTAAAATTTCTAAAATAATACATTATATTTTTTTCATATGAACCCCAATCCTTTGACATTATATTAAAAATATAATAGTCTATTAAATGTTTAAATAATATTTGATTTATCAATTGAATAACGTAAAGGTCTATTATAAAGATAACTCTCGTGAAGATTCGAACTAGGTTTTAATAAAAAAATTTAATATTTTATCTCACTAAATCGGGTATTGTTTAATTTGATTGTTAATTCTAATATATGAACAAATTTAAATACTCGGAAATTGTTTACAGCCGGATGAAGCTTAACTCAATTTACAATGGAATTGTGAAATCATATGGTAACTGAAGCTTGGAAAAGGGGGTAACGCATAAAGTTGCGAAACGGTCTTCATCATCAACAATGTCAAATAAGGAAGGTTGTTTTTTCTGTCAATAAAGCTTTCGATTTTATTCGTTTTAGGGTAAATTATATTGTTTCTCATTAAACTTTATTCTCTCTCATTCTTTGCTCATCGTATTTTCAATTTTTTTATTTTGCTCACTTAGCTTTACAGTTTGAATCATTTTGATCACTCTGCCATTAACTCTCTGACGGTATGATGACGTATCATTTTTTATTATTATTTAATATAAAATAATTGAAAATATAAAGGCTAAATTACATCGTTCATCACTTAAATTTACTCTTTATCCTATTTTGTTCATCCAACTATAAAATAAAAATAGAAGGTGGTTGGATGCCACCGCCAACCACCGTCGATTGCCTTAGATGATGGCCTTTCAGTCCCAAATTTCATTAGCAATTTCGCCTCGATACCTTGAGCCCGAATTCGACTTCCATTTTGTTCATCCAACTATAAAATAAAAATAGAAGGCAATTGGATGCCACTGTCAGCCACCGTCGATTGCCTTAGATGGTGGCATTTCGGTCCCAAATTTCATTAGCCATTTCGCTTTGATACCTTGAGCCCGAATTCGACTTCCATTTTGTCGAAACTTTCTCCGAAGTCCACGAATCAGAAATTAAAAGTGATGAATCTGAAAAGTTTTAGTCGAGATTCACGGATTTTGAGACATTTTTCGGTGAAACAACCACCAGATTCAGACTCAGGGGGTCGAGATGAACTAACCCATGAATTTTGGGACCGAATGAAAACCATCAACGATAGTTAACAGTGACCAGAATGAAAAATGATATGGTGGCCGGAGACGACAATAGGAGGAAAGAAGAGGATTCAAAACGATGTCGTTTTGATGTATATTTGAATTTTTCAAACGATGTCGTTTTGATGCTTGTAACATGTCATAACATAGTTAAAAATTTAACGGCAAAATGAGTAAAATGATTCAATATGTAAAGTTTAGTGATCAAAATAAAAAAATTGAAAGTACGGTGAGCAAAACAGGAGAGTGAGTGAAGTTTAGTGAGAAACTGTGTAATTTACCCTTGATTTTATTTTATTTTATTTTAAAAAAAGACCTCCTCTTTCCCTCCTTGAAAGCTGCTTTTTATTTAAGCTCATAACCGCTCAAGCTCGACAAAACAAAAACTCAGGCTTTGCTTCTCTCACTGTCCAAACAAAAACAATAAAAAAAAACCCCAAGTTTTTTTTTACGAAGACCATGCTTTCGAAGGTGAACAGCGGTGTCATTTGGCCGGAAGACAAAGGAGACGAACAAAACGACAGTGTTGTAATGGAAAACAAAGAAATGATGGGTTCTTTGTCTTCGTTCAAATCCATGTTAGATGACGAATGGTACGTTCCGAACAACAGTATTTCAAGCCATCATCATGATATCGGGGACCTTTCGTTTCCAAATAATCTCTTGCTGCACCACCATCATCTGCAACAGCAGCAGCAGCATCCAGTGGATTCTACCTCTTCTTGTTCACCATCTTCCACTGTTTTCAACAATCTCGACCCATCTCAGTTACACTTCTTTTTGCAGCCAAAACCAGGTTCATATTCGTTCCTCAATGTCGTTTCCAACAACCCATTAGACCACGGGTTTGGTTTGGGCGAAATCGGTTTCCTTGACAACCAAGCAAGAAACGCTAGTTCTTTGTTGAGCAGGGAAAATTCTGGGGTTTTGGGTGGTTTCACTGATTTAATCGCTGGGAATCAGATAGACACTGCTAATTCGGGTTCCGGATTCACGGGTTTTCAAGGGTTTGTTGAGAATCCTGGGAATTCTCTGTTTTTAAATAGGTCTAAATTGCTAAGACCACTGGATAGCTTTCCTTCTGTCGGAGCACAGCCGACTCTGTTCCAGAAAAGGGCGGCTTTGAGGAAGAATTTGGCCGATAATGGAGGGAATTTCGGGGTTTTGGTCGGAGGAAAGGTTAATGCTTCGAATGGAACCGAGGGGGATAAAGAGAATGAAAAGAAGAAAATTTGCAAAAGAGATGATTTGGAAGATGTTAGCATTGATGGTTCAGCTTTGAATTATGATTCTGATGAGTTCACCGAGACTTACAAGGCTGAGGAAACTCCCAAAAATGGTGGGAACACCTCGAATGCAAACAGTACTGTCACCGGAGGAGATCAAAAGGGTAAAAGGAAAGGGCTTCCTGCTAAAAACTTGATGGCCGAGAGGCGCCGTCGGAAGAAACTCAACGATCGGCTTTACATGTTGCGATCGGTTGTTCCGAAGATCAGTAAAGTAAGATTGTCCTCTCACTTTCGTTTTTGTTTGTTTTCATGGTGTGGTACTTGAGCATTATGTGAATGAATGGTATCTTTTGCTTTTACATGCTGCATTCGGTTCTCTTTTCTAGTCTTTTGATGGTTACCTGCATTATATGTTCTCTTGCATTCGAATCATTCAGCGTGACTAGTAGCTTTAAACTCATGATACCAGTGCCGAAAATATACGCTCATTAGCAGCTATGATCGATAAGGTCAAGTTTATGCAGTTCATTGACTGTTTGAAAGTATGATTTACGTGTTGTAGTTACTTGCAAAGGAAGAGTTTTGGAGTTTCTTGTTCTTTCAGTTTTTTCTTCTTAGGAATGGCATGGTTTAACATTATCCTTTCCACTAATAGATGGATAGAGCTTCTATCCTAGGGGATGCCATTGAGTACCTAAAGGAACTTCTGCAAAGGATCAATGATCTGCATAACGAATTAGAGTCGAACCCCGGAAGCTCTTCGGTCACACCTACAACCAGTTTCCGTCCTTTGACTCCCACTCCGGCTACCTTGTCCTGTCATATCAAGGATGAACTTTGCCCTAGTTCATTACTGAGTCCCAACGGGCAACCGGCAAGGGTAAAATGTTGCGTCAACCTTTCCCGTACCGTATGTTATTAGTTTATTATCGGCTCCATAATACATAAAGCTCCATTTGATGTATATATGTATGTATGTAGGTTGAAGTGAGGCTGAGAGAAGGAAAAGCTGTGAACATCCACATGTTTTGTGGGCGCAGACCTGGTCTTTTGCTCTCCACGATGAGGGCTTTGGACAGCCTTGGGCTCGACATCCAGCAAGCGGTCATTAGCTGTTTCAATGGCTTCGCCATGGATATCTTTCGAGCTGAGGTAACAATCTCTGACCATCTATTGCTTCAACCGATGTTGCTCTGTCCCCTTTTCCCTCCCAATACCATATCCGGCAACCAAACCATTGCATATTTAGATATAGGTATGGGGATATGACTAATATTTTGAAAAATCGAACACATCCTTGTCCGGTACTTGCACCCAACATGCTCATAATCTTATTTCAATCTTCCATTTTCATTGATGTGTTCATATTTTGATCCAGCAATTCAAGGAAGGGCCGGACGTCCACCCTGAGCAGATCGAAGCCGTGCTTTTGGATTCAGCTGGCTTCAACAACATCATTTAGTGTTCTCTCTATCTGAACAATAACCACAACAAGCAAATTGCATTTTGTTATTCAAGTGTTTACAAGTTGAGAACAACATGACAGCTTCTACATTAATTTGAACTGCTGGGAAACACCCCATTGACTGAATTTTTAAAAGAATCAACATTTTTCTGCTTTTCTAAGTTCTTTGAATGGATTTATGGGTTTATTGGATTAAAATTCATAATTATGAGCAATATTTATAATGTATATTCTTATCATAAAATATGACATGAATTAAGTGACCAATTATGTTATAAAGTCCTAAGGTATTAGAAGTGTCATGAAAATAAAAGTGTAGATACTATTAAAGTTGTATTTATAACTCGATGAGGGACAAAGATATAAGTACATACAATATTTGATTCTTAAATCAGCTATATAAAGGGGTTATGATCCCTAAGAAATAAATAATCCTTTATTTACTCTTATCCTATCGGAGAATTTATATTTAAAGGAGCTCTATTTTTTTGGAAGATCATGACCAAAGAAAGATTCAATGATTTCAACTTATCAATTAATTCAGTTACGCTTTCACATATAATATTTTGTTCTTAATGATTTGACATGATTACATCTATATTAATTTTCATATTATTATGGTTTGGTTCTAAGATAGTTATGATAAGCTTCTCATGCCTGATGGCACTTGAATATAGTTTGAACAAACTCAGTCCCCCACCCCATAGGCCATAGTCACCGAGCTGATCAGTTTTACACTATAAGCACTCAAGTTTGCAATCTGTTCTTGTTTAGCGGACCATGTTTTAGAAAACAGTTGAAAAAATCATTTACCGATGTTTAAATGATATTACGTAAATTATTTTGTCGTTTAATAAAATTTTCAGACTCATTCATTATGAAGAAAATAATATTATTGTTATTAAAATATTATAATAATTTGATTAGCATTATAAAAAAAAGCATTACTTGAAACGCACCAAATGTTTTTCACGATTTAAAAAAAGTATGCTTTACTTGAGAAGACACCGGTAGAAATGGCCGTGTTAACCTAATTACATTCACAACTTCAAAAAAATAAAATGTGGGGTTCAAACATCTCTGTACAGAGGGCGGGGTTACACATTACAAGGATGGTGGTGCAGCCGTGCATGAAATTCAGATTCGGGTATACATATGAAAGATATATTAAAAGAACACCATATTGCTGCTAGCATATCCAAAATCGGATCATAGCATTCGTGCCAAATATATCGGATTACGATTTATGCGGCAAACTTGATGCTAATATAGACTTGCAGCTTTAGTAAGTTCTTGTTCTAACTAGCAGGAACGTCACTATTGCATTCCTGATTCCTCCACCAAAAACCTGAAACGAGAAGAAACAAGCGACTTTACTATGTAGATTGATTTTAGACATCATATTCAAAACAAGGTTATGATACTTCGACTATACCATTAAGTGAATTTCATCAATTCTTAGCACTAGATGCCGACAGACAATTCACTTCTTTACCATCTACAACTCTGGGGGGAAAGGACTGTCATCGACCTTCAAGGACCCTGGCTTCATCTTCTGGACCTCCTCCCTTGTGTGGATACCGATCTTGCGAACCATGGCACAAAATTCCCTGATTCACAAGTAAGAACTCGATGAAGTGTAAACCATCAAACACGAAACAGTGAAAAATGGAACAGAGAGACGTTAGAAAAATCTTACTGCCAGGGATCATCGCCTACAAGCATCATATCACCCTCATTGTCGGTATAAACAACTAGCCAATTCTTTTGAGGTGCCATTAGTTCGCCTCCAAATTCAAATATATGATCCAATTCAGTGATCAGTTCATCATAGTTCTTGAACTTATTAAGGTCCACAGATCTACCAAGAGAATTCCCTTGCACGAGAACCTGAAAATAGAATCATTTTGAGCAAGTCCATCATATATTTTATAACTGCAAGTTTGAAAAACCAAGAACGAGAAAAAGAACCTTAGTACAACTCCTAGTTGAAGCAGGAGATGAAATATTCTCCCTTGTATGGGGCTGACCCAGATGAAATGCTCTCTCCTGCTCATTAAAAGCAGAATTATCTTCCGACAACTGCGAGACCTTGGACTTTTTATTTTAGACTTTTGATCAGATTCAGATGCATGAACTTGGTGCAACGCTGCTTGCACATGACCCAAAGGATTAGTGAACGCAGTAACATGAGACTGCTGTATCAGAGGCACTAGAATTACTTATGAGAGGAATACCAAAGAGCTTGCAGTTTCCCTCTCTAGACTTTCCGTCCTTGTGCTCTTGAACCAACGATGTTTAGGGCATCAAGTCTCTTGCATGGACCGAGTTCTCATAATGAGATGAGGTTGGGGGAGGCATCATTACCATGTGAGTGCTCAATCCTACGACCAAGAACAGGGTAGTCACGAAAACCACCAAATCTACCATTTCCACGTGACTGATAAGGCACATCAGAACCTTGCAAAGGAGGGCTTGAACTAGCGTCGGCTAACTTGAGTGAGAGACTAGAGTGCGAGCGGGACCAAGAGCCAAGCTTGCCTTCTTGATCTAGTAAACGATTTCTCATAGAATTACCAGCCATTAAAGATTGATCAATCAAGGATGGTCGACATCCACGAGATGAATCAGCATTTGACCCAAAACAAGAGCAGAGTTGTGTATGTTATTTCATGACTCCCGGAGGACATCCAATTCTCTGACCCAAATTTTCTTTCACCAGGGGCATCATTCTTCTCATCATCTGCTGAAAGTGGCCACATCACTGACTTTTCAGCAGTGTCAGACTCGTTACTCTCAGCAAATGTTGCTCTCAAGGTCGACAATTCTTGACCTTGCAAGACCCTTGAAAACGCACTTGCTGGTAAAGGGTCTACAGTAACCTTGGAGGAACCTAAAAATAAACTCGGTCAACAGATCTTTCCCAGATGACTAACTGTTACATGGAAAACATGAAAATATATTACAAATCCATCGCATGAGACAGCACCAATCACCTACCTTCCCTAGTAAGCACACACGAATAGGGGGACTGAGATACAGCAACAGATCGAGGCCTCTTTGGCCTCTGCATTGAAAGGGGGTTCAGGGCACGGGGAGCCAAAGAATGCTCAATTTTCCAAGGAGAAATTCTCTCAGGATGAGGTATGGTAGATGTTTCGTCCCATCGCACCTACAATAGATTAAAACATTGTGAAATAATTCCCATGACTTGAGAATTCTACAATTTCTTATATTATTCTTGAAAAAATCAAAGAACAGTCGAATTAAATAAGTCTACCTTGAGGCATCTCCATTTAGAATCCTTCCACCTTTGTGGATCAGAATCTTCAATTCCAACCACTGTCCCAGTAAACCTGCAGTACAAAAATTTGAAAATCATAATCTCTGCTCGTTTTAACATCATGTTGGGACTCATACCCTTAAACAGTAAAATACTAGAAACTTAATGAAAAACTTGTTTTGACACAGCGAGATAAGGAAAAAAGGTCCCATACCTCTGCTCGGGAGATTCTTCTCCTTCAAATCTCATTTTGAACCTCATCCCTATCGAGTAATTGTTCTTTACAGACTCCATGAACTGATCAAATGGAACAATAAATTCGGCTGGACTTGTCCTACAAGAGACAAGAAAATGTAATTAATTCTTTAAACAGAAAATGTCACGTGAACTTTTATCACACAAGGTAATCTATTTTGAGAAATTAAACATGTCATGCAAGAAAAAATAACAAAGCTTTTCAAAATAATAGATTGATCTACAAACCTGGGTTTGTAATACACAGTGAATATGGTTCTTGTTGAGTAGGCATGCCATGCTGTAGCTAGCACACCAAGATGCATGCTATGACTTGATATTACGGATGAAGGAACATTCCCATGATGTCTCAATGCTCGTCGTACACCAACCCGTAGCTCTCCATTCTCACCTCTAGAAAATACATATCATTTCCACATTTAAGCCTTTAAGCTCAAGTAAGGAATTCCATGGTAAAACACCATATTTTCAAAGAACATTTGAGGAAAAGAGACAAACCTTAAAAATATAAACGCATCCCCAGCAACAAGCTTCTTGGAGCTAACAAAAACACTCCAACCACTTTGAAGCAAATGTCTTCGTGGCTGACCTGATATTATCACAGTGGAACCAAATTGTAAATAAAGGGGCTTTTACATGCAAGTTGCAGCTTATTTTATAAAAATAAAAAGGCCATAACTTGTGAGCATATTATATGACCAAACTCCCTGAAATCCAGCGTGCATTATCTACGAGCAGCAAAAGAAATTAGGCTTAAAGCATTACCCCTGAAGATATGACGGAATCGCCAATCATTTCCATGCAAATCCTTTGTAACCAACTCCTGAGTTGGAGGTTGCAGAGACATGTCCTGTTAAAGAACAATGCCCAAAAGAATCACAACTAAATTTTCATAATAACGGAAATAAAACAGGAACTAGACATATGCAACAGATAGACCCAAACCAATGGTGGAAGACATTAATCGGCGTGCCGCCTGAGCACCGAAAACCCACCATGGGTGCTCGTATCTGAGGCAGTCAGGGTCTTGCAAAAGGAATGCACTTGGAACCGTGGGGGTTCAGGAATGGGAGGCTCCTTTTCCACCACGTTCTCATCTTGCTAAAAATATCAGATGAAGCAAAGAACGAAACATTAGAACTCAACTCTTCCTCAACACATAATCTAAAGCACCAATAAGAAAAAAAGAGTCCAAACTTACATCAGGTTCAGGAAGTAAAGTCGCTTGTGCAAAAACCTCATTGGTATCCGGTTCAGCCTAACAACAAAAAATTATTCATCTCATTAGTAAACCAAATCCCAGAAAAAAAATAATACAAATAGCCATAAAAGTGGTGAAAGGTACTACCTTTAACTGAACGTTAATCACACGACAAAGGATCTTTGATGGTTGGTCTGATGCCTGATTAGTAGATGCCTCAACCTGATTCACCAGAAACACTAACAACTTTAGGAAGCAAATTACAAAACAAAC